GAATAGAATAGAATAGAATAGAATAGAATAGAATAGAATAGAATAAAATTGAATTGAATTGAATTGAATACAATAGAATGTAGTTAAGCTTAACAATTATGAAACAAGAAATTCGTCGAAACCCAACTTTTGTTCGCATACATTACGTGCTTTCTTCGTCCGTCATGCCGATTTACGGACAATGCCTAAGATGGAACTAATTTTTGCAAAGGTTTAGGATAAATAATAGACCAACATTGTCCGGCTCTATCCCATATTCTTGATATAATCATAGCTAAAAACGAAATAATATATATATAGATATAGATATATAGAGAGAGATATTTAAAAAGTATTCAATCCTAGTCGTGCTTTATTGGCAAACATAAGGACGAAGTGCCAAATATAAGAGCTAACAAATGAGATAAATGATTGAAGAAAGCACTATCCACGCGTACGCGATGAAAAAAGTAAATAATGTGCAAATCATGTTAGATATATGATGGGAGAATGAGGTAAATTGTAGATAAAAGAAGTTTAACGTTGAGCCAACCCGGTTGAATCGACCTTGAAAGAAGGCTTGGCCTGATTTTGCCCAACCAGGGGCGAAAGGTCATATTAAAGTGAAGCTGCCTCAGAAGGAGAGTGAAACAACCTGCGAATCCTTTAATCATTAACTCTCATTAGAAATTGAAGTCTCCGCACTGACCCTCGGGTCGTCTCACAATTAGCGAAAGAGAAGGGTAGAGCGATCCCCAGCCGTGAGTCTCTAGCTACCATCGAACTGGATCCAAAAGATCCTGGACCAAAGTGTACACGAGGCACCACTCTTTTCTGAAGCCCTGGAGTTTTGAAGCCACCGGTTCAGAGGTTGCTCGTGGTTTAGCCCCACAATGCATGTAGGCCCGAGCCCTGACCGCTTGCTCTATACACAAACACACAAACAGGCAGACACCCTCTCCCTCTTTCAAATTACACCACCGTAGGACAGAGTACATTGAAAGGAACGTCTAAAACAACATAGTTTTGCTTGTAGATATGAAGATAATGATGAGATGGATAGTGCTGGTTTGACCGCGTTCCGATAACCTTGTGAAACACACTTAGTTGTGTGTCTTTCCTTCTGCATCCGAATACTCGGCCAAACGTCTGGGAATGTACCAAGTCAACAGTCCGATGCTACAAATCGTCATGAAGACAATTACAGAAGATGCAGGACTGGATATGTTTCACTAGATCTGCCCGTTGCCACAACCATGTTGCCAACACGAGGTCAAACTAGCACAATATATTTTTGAGTCGATAACCACCAATCGGTGAGATACGTGAAATTTTGCTCTAACCACTAGTCGTTCAATCCTCGATGCTGCTATTCTCGTTTCAGATCAGACCGCTCTCGAGGCACCAACGCACCTAACAACAGTCCCCTCAGTCGGAGCATGCAAGAACACCCTCAGCACCAACACCAGTGTTCACTTTCCCGTGACGCCCGATCGCTGGGGCTCAGTTTTGCCGGCTCCGCAGGAGTCGGACCCACTTCGGCTCCCCATTTGACAACCTACGAAGCCCAGAGTGGGTGTGCAAAAAAGCCAAACCCATCCACTGAATTCTGGGCCAAAATGTGCCATTCTCTACTCTTTAGCGCCTTGATAAAACGTAAAATAGAGCAACCAGTATCTATACCATCATCTTCAACATCGATTATATTGTACATCGATTATGTATTATTTTGCATTTCTAAATAGTCTTATCAACTAGATTTGACCAGCGATAGGACATTCGCGTCTTGGCGATTCCGCTCAGGCTTGTGGGCTTGACATAACAGAACGTCCTGATAGACAGGCCTTGTACTTCGGGCCACTTGCGGCTATATGCAACCAAGATCCGTTGCCATACCCGAGTGTGGCTAGCTCTATGTGTAAGGTTGTCCGTGATCTTGCAGGTAGGCCGAGTCATGAGATCCAGCACTTTTGAGGGCAGTTTTGCGAAGCGTATAGACACACTCCCTAATCATTATGATGATGATACTGAAAATGATGATGATTATGCTTATCGCAACTACCACCACCACCACCATCAGCGTTATCATCATCATCATCATCATGATTTTATTCATTTAATTTGGGGCTCATTAAACGTGGATTATATATATATATATATATATAAACCTACGAATCTCTTCTTCATATACTTTCATACGAAATGAAAGTTGCGCCAATAATGTAATCTCAGGAGATTCATCGAAGCCAAGTGACTCTTCGTATCTACAATGCATGTATGATTAAACTTCTTGTTAAGTCTCTTCTCGCTCACAGTTACCACATAAAATTTATCCCG